AAAAATTGCAATTTTTCGTCCAGGATCCATTTCTGATGGTCCCTGATCCCGAAAACGAAGGGCGAACCAGCCGAAGGGCAACAGTGGGCGCCGACACCGATCGAGCTCTCCCCGCCGCCTTGCCCCACAGACATCGAGTGCCCTCCATAAGACAAGACCATCGATATTCGCAGCGTTCGGCCTTCAGGGGCCCGGCCGCGGCTGCGTTCGCAGCTCTGGCCGCGGTTGTGGCTGCATCTGGGTGGGGGGAGACTATCGCGATTTGTTCGTGATGGTCCTCGGAGGTCTGACATCCTGCAACGGTGCCCCAGGGGCCGAGAACGGCCCAACCAGGTGGGCGGAATGTCTGCCGGGATGGGACAACATCAGCCCCTCGGACGTCTGTGGGGACGAGACGGGGGAGAAGGAGGAGGAGGAGGAGGAGGAGGAGGCGGAGGAGGAGGAGGAGGAGGAGGAGGAGGAGGAGGAGGAGGAGGAGGAGGAGGGAGGAGGAGGGAGGAGGAGGAGGAGGAGGAGGAGGAGGAGGAGGAGGAGGAGGAGGGGAGGAGGAGGAGGAGGAGGCGGAGGAGGAGAGAGGAGGAGGAGGAGGAGGAGGCGGAGGAGCAAGCTTTCTGATCGTGCGTGCAGTTGGCACACGCGCGCACGACCTACCCACATAGGTTAAAAAAACAAATCGGCGCCTGCGGCGGGCTCGTTATATAATTTGTCAAACTTTGGCGCCTGCGGCGGGCTTCTCTAGAGTCTCGCAAACTGCCGACGTCCCCACCGCCCCCTCACTCTTATCCGCATCTGCGGGGGGCTACGTAAACAAGTAACAACAATTGAAGTCCCCACCGTAAGGCTCCTGATGCGCGTGCACGTTGTCATCATTGCTCCTGAGCAGGGCCCGACCGTCCCGGCATTCCTCTAGGCTTACCACAAATTTTCTTAGGCATCCCAACATGTGCGTTTAACTAAACAATGTTCTTAGAACATACACCCGATGTGCTAAGACAAGACAGTCCCAGCTAGAAATGTTCTGCAAAAGGTTCTTAGAACATTGTTTGGTGGGCCTATCGGCGCGCCAAGACGCTTCGCCACTGCTTTATGACCCGTCGGCAGCCAGTGAGCACGTTGCGGGGAGAGCGATTCGGCGACTGAGCGTGCGCGTCGAGGCGTCGACGACCTGAAAGTTCCTCGGCAGTCCGACGCAGGGACGGCGGGCGCAACTGGGGGCGACCTGTGGAGGCAGGCGCTGGGGCATGACCAGCGTAAGGCCTGCTGGGGCCGTGTCCGCTGCAGGAGCAGTCTGCGAACTGGCAGCGAGCCCCTCTTCAGCCAGAGCTCGCGACATGCGAAGAAGAGACGCGTGCCCGGCGATACAGACGTCTATGCCCACCTGGTCCATCTACAGTGCGGGCGCGGCCGCAAGAAACCCTCGCAAGAAACCCAACCCTGAGAACCCGTGCGCGAGGTGCACCTGAGGGGAAACCTGGAACACCCTGAACGCAGCAGCTCCTTCAACGGCTGCGGGAAGTCACCGCGCAGCGCGAGTAGCGAAGAAGCCCAGGATACCCTGACGAAAAGCACATGGTTTCTTGATGCGTACTGGCAGGGAGCCCCTCTTTAGCCTGAGCTCGCGACATGCGAAAAAGAGACGCGTGCCCGGCGAAACTGTTGCTGTACAAGCGTTTTCAGGTTTGGCGCGGGCAAGCGCGCAGCAGGAGGTGCTTACCAGTATCTGCCCCGACCTCCCGCCTACACAGAGGCGGCGCCCAGCTGGAAACGCATGTGCTCAAACTGCTGATCTCCCCTTCTGCCTCGACCCCCCTCGCCCCAATCCTGACGTCTGTGCCCACCTGGTCGCTCTACGCCATGGACTCGTGCGCCCTTGGCCCTGACCGTGCAGCCCTTGGGGCGTGTCCTCGACGAATCACCCCGGAGGGGGCGACAGAGTTCGTGTCAGTGGCCACTTCGTTCGTGCAGAGACATGCGAAGAAGAGACGCGTGACCGGCGATGCAGACGTCCATGCCCACCTGGTCCCTCTGCGCCATGGTGGCCTCGTGCGCTCTTGGCCCTGACCGTGCAGCCCCTGGGGCGTGTCCTCGACGGATCACTCCGGAGGGGGCGACAGCGTTTGTGGCGGTGGCACGGCTGGCTTTACGTCGGGCGTGCCCCACTGCAGGCGGATTCTGGACGAAACGTCAAACACAGCCCCACAAAAACTAGACCCAAATAGCCAACAATTCTCAAAACATCGCCCCCCGACAATTGTTTGAACTATTTTTTTAGATTCCTCCCGTAGAGGGACATGCCCGACTTAACGCTGGCTCTGAAGTGCAGACGGAACTTCAACTGCAACGCTGGTCCCCGGCGGAGACGGAAGAGGTACATGATCAGGCGCAAGCAGAAGCGGCGCAAACACCATAATCTCAGGGCTAGCAATGAGAGGCGGATCGCTTGGAACTGCTACGGGAGGTCCAGCTCAGGGTCCACCGGGCAGAGGAAACTGCGGTGGCGGTCCAGGAAATGGGCGCGCTCCGAGAGGAACAGGTAGCTAGAGGCCTCCTAGATGGGGTCCGAGAAGATGGGGTCGGAGGATCGCGCCGCATCGCCGATACATCGGCGATGCGTCGGCGACGTCGATTTGACGCAGATCGGGCCAAACATCGAGCCGCACCGGCGATGCATCGGCGATGCGGCGCGATCCTCCGACCCGGTCTACTCCGACCCCATCTAGGAGGCCTGGAATAGCGGGGGTGCCAAGGGAGGCAGCCAATGCGGCAGCGGAGGCGGGAGACAGCCTCCGCCCTGCCGCCCGTGCATCGCGCGGTCGCCCGCACCCCGCGTGCGACGCGCTGGGCCCGAGCCGTGTGAGCGTGCGCGGAAAGGGGCAACACGGCAGGGACCACGGCTCGAGGCTGAGGGAAGAGAAGGGCGGAGGGAGGTCTCCAGGAGTTCCCGGAACGATCCTGGATGCCTGGAGGCCCTCGGGAACCCCGGAAGCGGCCGAAAGCCGAGGTCCTCGATCGGGCAGCAGAAGGACGCCAAGGCGGCTTGGGACGCGTCAGGTCAGTAGCAGCAGCGCTAGGAGGAGGAATGGTGAGGAGGAGGAAGAAGGAGGAGGGGGGAAGGAGGAGGGAGAAGGAGGAGGACAACCCTGGAGGATTGAACTGCCGACAGCAACAGGAGGATGAGGAGGACGAGGAGGAGGAGGACGAGGAGGAGGATGGTGATGATGGTGATGATGGTGATGATGGTGATGATGATGATGATGATGATGATGATGATGATGATGACGAGAGGAGGAGGAGGAGGAGGAGGAGGAGGAGGAGGAGGAGGAGGAGGAGGAGGAGGAGCAGGAGGAGGGAGGAGGAGGAGGGTGGGAGGAGGAGGAGGGTGAGGAAGAGGGGAGAAGAGGAGGAGGTGAAGGTGGGGGACGGAAGGTGGCCGCGTCTCATGATCTCCGGCCGAGAGAGAGGGGGAGAGAGAGAGAGAGAGAGAGATAGAGTGAGAAAGAGAAACAGAGAGAGAGAGAGAGAAGTGGGGGACGGGAGGAGGCAGAAGGAGGAGGGAGGGAGGGAGGGAGGACCCTCGTCCCACAGCTCGTCGAGGAAGCTCAGGTCTCCGCTGGGGTCGTCCAGGTTGTACAAGAACGTGATCCGCCCGCCCGCGCTCCGCGGCCACGTGCCCGCCCCCGTGCCGCTCTTCCCCGTACTTGTTCCTTCCTCTTCCCCGCTGCTCCACGCCCCGTGCTTCTCGAGAGGCCCTCCTCCTCCTCCTCCCCCTCCTCCGCCCTCCTCCGCCCTCCTCCTCCTCCTCCTCCTCCTCCTCCTCCTCCTCCTCTTATCCCTCCTCCTCCTCCTCCCCTCCGTTACTAACCTCCTCCTCATTCGAACCCTTTCTTCCTCCTCCTCCGTACTCGCTAAACCTCCCCCTCCTCCTCCCCTTCTCCCCCTCCTCCTCCTCCTCCTCCTCCTCCTCCTCCTCTCCTCCTTTCCTATCCTCCTCCTCCTCCTCCTCATCCCTCCTCCTCATCCTCCTCCTCCTCCTCCTCCCCCTCCCACTCCTCCTCCTTCTCCTCCACCTCGTGCTCCTCCTCCTCCTCCTCCTCCTCCTCCGCCTTCTCCCTCCTCCTGTTTCATCCCCGCCATTTTGCGTATTTGAGCAAAGCTGTGCCAGTACATGTGTGTAAGTTTTTAGTGATGCTCGAAGAGGTTGGAGTTTTTCCCCGTAGCTATCCACAGTGCTTTGATTGAGAAACACACAGCCGACCAATCTGAGGGCCCATCGTACCGAGGAATTGGCGTGCTCCCCGCTCTTTGGAGGGTGTGGTCCAACATCCGTCAAGTGGAAGCCGTAAGTGGGGAAGGGCCAACAAGATACCCTATCTTGTCCATAAGTCTGGTCGAGGAGTGCTAGAACCGGTGTATGCCCAGGCCCTCAAAACCGAGCTAGCTGGCTATCGGGCTGTTCATGCCAGAAGTATCCTTTGGGACTGATCTATCTATTGCGAAAACGTGAGTCGGGAGAAATGGACGGCTCGGGCTCTTTCATTGGGGTTCTCGGAAACGCTCGTCTGTCTCAGGATGAACCAATACGGGGGACCTCGGGTTGTTGCCATCAGAACCTTGGCAATGTATGCTGGTTGTGCTACTAAAGGTTTGCCTGCTGGCTGCTCGCTCGCGACAGACAGCGTTCAAATGTATTCGGTGCCCCCCATGGACTCCTGGGTCACCAATTTCCCCACCGTGGACCCTTCAATCTTCATAGACGGTTCCATGCTGGGCAGCCACAACACTAGCCTCCGTCTCCTGGTGTCGGATGTGGCACAGGCCGCTGGCAGCATGGTTGATTCAATCGAGGATGACCTCGACTGCACGGCTGCCTTGCACACGGCGGCGGTGTTGGGCTCGTCCGCCGAGGTTCAGCAGCGCCTCGCCAACGCTCGTGGCAAGTATAGTGGGCCCGAAGGGACCAATGAGTCGTCGTCTGCGCCAAACCTCGGAGTCAATTTCACCATGGGGAACAAGGTCTCGAACAAAGAACCCGTTCGACGCTGCAGAAACGAACTGCTACGCTGAAGCGACGGCTCCACCGTTTGTCGCAGCTAAGGCGTGCAGGTGCAAGCATGAGGAAGATTTATCAGACTGGTTTGAAGGCGGCCGCCTACTACGTCACCGAGGTCGTCGGCCTCACGCACCCCGAGCTGCGCGAGGCACAGTCCCTGTATTTGAAGATTATAAGGCCCCGCTGTGCTACCAAACCCCGTTACCTGGCTTATTCACTCTTGGGAGACCCGACCTGGAGTGCTGCCCTGGGGCCGGCTTGCTACCGGGCTAACTTGGTCTGGAAGGTTGCTCATTATCCTGGAACCGTCTGCTTTGCCCTGCCTGAGCTCAGGGCCCATGCCCTGGAATGTTTCAACAAACCCCCAACACAATTGTTTCAGATCCGAGGGCCCCTCGGGGCCACTCTGCTCAGCCTCGCTCGTCTGGGATGGTCCATGTCCGACCCGCTCGTTTTCCAGGACTCGGACGGCCAGGAGTACCCTATCATCGTGACCTTCCCCGCCCGCGTAAAGAAGTTGTTTCAGTTTCAGTGCCAGTTGCAGCTCGACGTCCATGCCAGCACGAAACTAGGACCTGACGAGCCGCTAGACCCGTCGGTCATGCAGCACGCGCTGCAGGACACCTCGATCCCAGGCCACATGCGCAAGACGCTGCTTTCCTACGGCTGTCAATGCATTTGGACAAACAAACATGGCGTCGGCAGGCCGCGAATGTGACATCGAGTGTGAGTTGTGCAAGGGCCCCGTGGATTCTCTTCCCCACAGGCTCTTCGATTGCCCTGGGGCCCACAATCTCAGGGAGGAAAAATTGAAAGAAGGAAACATCAAGGAGCAAAAGGACCCGAGGAGAGGTTTTCCCTACGCGATGGGGTTTTAGCTTCGACCCGAACCTGTAGCTCTGAGGCCCCCTGGACTCGGTCTAGACCAGGCGGTGTATTGGTCTCGCGGTGGTCAGCCCAAGGAGGTGGCCATGGAAGGAGAAGTTTTCCATGATGGCAGCGTTTCAAAACCTTGGCCCGCGGCCAGCGATGCCCCCGCCCGGTCCGTGGCTGAAGTCGACGCGGTGGGCGACCTCGTTGCCAGCCTCGCAGGCCCCCGTGGGAGCCGGCCTGCCCCTCACTTCGCCCGCTGCCGAGCACCTGGGCTTCCTCGCCGCTTCGTCGTGCCCCCGAGTCACGAAAGCGTGGGCGGATGTTAAATGCATCCTCTCGGTCCACCAGAACCCCGAGGTTTGTAGGAAGGACATGTGTTCTGGTGTGTCAGACGTGGCCAGGGCCAGAAGCAGTTTCAAGTCCCTCGAGATTGCGAAAGTCCAGGCCCACCAGGATCTAGAGACCCTGGTGGCTGGCTCGAGGGGCTGGCTTCTTGCCAAGGGTAACGACTGGGCAGACAAGGCCGCCAAACAAGCTGCGGCCCGAATCCTCGCCCCTTCCCAGATGAAGATCGACTGCTATAAAGACACTCGCAGTCGAATCCAGCGATTTGCGAAGTATGCAGCGGAGGCGCTCTCCCTCTGGTCCCCTCTCGCCCTTAAGTCGGGTGAGAAGGCCTACGAGAAGCCCTCCGAGAGCCTCAGCCCCCCTGTGGGGGCAGCGGGAGCGGTCAAGCAGTGGACCGTCCCCCTTCCACCACCAGCGGGTCAGCCTCGGCGCGCTCGAGCATGCCGTAACCCGCGGAGTGGAGTCAGCCACCAGTGGGCGTGGTTGAAGAATCACTGGCTGTGCCTGGCCTGCCACGCCCGAGCTAGAACGGATAGCACCCGCAAGTCTCGCATGTTTGAAGCGTGCCCAAGTGATTGTGTTGCCTTGTCTTGCCTAATTCGGGACCCCGAGAAGCACGCATGAATGATCTGCGATTACCTTGATGTCGAGTCTTTCATTGTAGTGTGCCAGCGGTGCGGACGCTACACAGAGAGTGCTCTCAGAGGGCTCCGGACTGAATGCAAGGGGGAGCGCTTCCGAAGCAAGTTCTCCCAAGCTGCGCGGTCTCTTTTGGCTGGCAGCCGACACCCCGAGAGCAACATGTCGGCCCGCCCCCGTCTTTCCCTGCCAATACCTGCCGCTCAACTCCTCAAGGAGAGGCGTGGCAGGCAGACTGAGTGCGTAAGTGGAGATCGGATGCAACCTCAAGGTTTCGGTCAGGGTCGGATCGACCTGACCCTAGCCATCCCCCCATAGCCTGTGATGGTCCCTCCTCCTCCTCCTCCCTCCCTCCTCTCCTCCTCCTCTCCTCCTCCCTCCCTCCCTACCTCCATCCCTACCTCCCTCCTCCTCCTCCTCCTCCTCCTCCTCCTCCTCCTCCTCCTCCTCCTCCTCCTCAGTGCCCGCTGCAGTCGATGCTTCGCCGCGCCCGGCAGGGGGCGCCGGCGGACCACTTTGGCTCTCCCTCACCTTCCCGATCGTTGCGGGTGTCATGGCACTCCGTCGCCGAAAGGAGGGAGGGAGGGAGG